AGAACAGCTTCCATCCATTGAGGTTCAGGAGTCCAGATCCTGGGCGTTTTGTTGACGAGAGTCCAACAATATCGAGTTGGTACTTTATGGCTTCATCAACTAACTCTTGTTCTTTTCCTCTGTGTGAGGATATGTTCCAATTTCCGACTTTAAGCTCCCACTGGTGGTGTCATTCTCGTGGAGCCTTTCCTGACGTTCTATAAAGGCATCGCGCTGTCTGTCTCTTCCGTTCAGAACTCGTAGCGACTGCGCTGCTGACTTGTATCTTCGTCGTCGTTGCGTCGGTCTTCGTCAGCCGTCGTTGAGCTGCCACGCCCCCGGCTGGCAGAAGGCAGTGAGCAGGTTCTGATCGCCGACTTTCCGCAGTCTGCCTCAGTCCCTCGACAGCCTGCGCGGCCCTTGGTAACCCCCGGGGACGACCGAGCAGGTATGATTTTCTGTGGCATCAATACCATGAGTCGCAGCTGGCTAAATTTTACGGAGACTTGCCACGGTCTCCAACCCTTCTCCTTTCTCATCCGGGCTTGAGAGATCGGCAACAGCGGAGTTATTAATTATTTTAAATAAAAGATGAAACTGGTCATGTCTAGACATTTAAGTTAGGTATAGATCATCAATGACACGAGAAAAGAAGGAATCAATAAAGGTGAAGAATTTCGTCATCTTTGAGCCGGCTAGAAGACCTGTTGTGTATCCACGCAACCAGATGAAATTGCAATGAAAATGTACAATAGCTATTGAAAACTATTTTTAGAAAAATTGAACCGGTTGTGATAACGGCAGGTCGATGCATAAGTATGCGCATAGTTTTGCATTCGATGGCCCCGTGGGTTCTGGGGCCATTCTTCATCTTACCGTTTTTACGAAAATGTTTGACTCTGGGCATAATTTATCGGAATTATTGTGACAAATATTTTTTAAATGCGGAGACAATCGAAGGATTCTTTCGCAACATTCGATGCGAACTTTCACTGTAACAGTGAGTTTCGCAACGATAAGTGGCATAACGTCATCACCGATGAGGCCAAGACATTCAACAAAATATATTGTCCATCAGTGATATGCCATTGACGTTCTCACATGACTTGTAAAGGTGGAACGTCATAGAGATATTCAGACAGAGTAATGCACGGGAAGGCGGCATTTAGTTAACCGTGAAATGCCAAAAGTTATTAGAAGTCCATTCTACTGGTGCGAAAGAAGCCCGATGACAAAGTATTCAGTTCTGGTGTTATCCGTAAGGAAATCGGTAAGATAAACTTAGTAAACAGGGCGAAATATTCTGCATATCTTTACAGAATTTAAATGTAACGTTAAATGGAGATGGTTGTTTCAATGAAAATTTCAGTGAACGCAAGTGTGACTGTCACCAGTTTTCTTTAACGTTTTCAAACGCCCACAGATTATAATGGCATTGAATTAATTGCTTAATAAGAAGGAAACAGCACTACTATATAATAAACTTTACCTTTTATTCTGTAACCTACAGTTAACTCATGTAGCAAAAAAAATCGGGAATGGGAAATAGCATTCAAAATAAAACAACTCTGATGTTCTGGAGGAGCTTCCAAGAGTTAGAGCTTTCAAGAAGTTATCATTATTTGACAGGTCTGCTGAAACAAAAGAACTTGTTGCCTGTTTAATACAGACGTGAGAATCAGCTGATGCAAGTTTTAAAACCCGTTATACCATACAGAGTAGAAATGAGAACAGTTGATTTCGGGGATTGCAAAATTGGATTTAACCAGAAACGAGGAAGCGAGAAAGGTGATGGAAATGGACGCTAATTTCAGAGATGCTAGAAATCGACTTGAACGACCTAGCGATGAAGTTATGATGAAAAGCAGGATATACGGGAAAGTGGTTAACACATTAAAAATGTATTACGAAAAAAGGCCAATGAATTGGGTATTGATAAAAGCATGTTCAACTTCGATAACCAGTATACGATTCTGTCCGGTTTGCGAACAGGCGAATATTACGGAGTGGGACGATTCGGCCGGGCCGTTTTGGCACAAATCGATAGTTGTTCCCAACGTGCAACGCGTTTGACTCTATATGATCGGATTGTGGTCATTTAGATCGACTGTAATATCCAACCAAACAAGTTATATATCTATGAGAAGCTCTCCGTAAACACAGTGTGAAACTTCTGTCAAACTAATAAATTTATATGATTTTGCGTTTAAGCGGCCCGCGCCGAATCGTCATAGGCCGCGGATTTTAGCCGTAACGAACGGAAAAGTAGGTTGGGATAGTGAAACCTCTATAGGCGAGAGCAGTGCCAAGAAAATGCTCAAGGCAGATCGAGTTGAACCATAACAAAAGCATGCAAAATATATGAATCGATGCAACGTACTCACGCCGCAAGCGAGCTTGGTAAACATCGCCAACGAAATCAGTCACCACGAGGACCTGAAGACCTAGTTTGTTGAGAAACGCTTTCCTGTATTCGCTGAATTTCCGCTGTAACACTTCCTTGCATTAGACGATTCAACTGGAAAATAGAATCAGACACGCTTATTCAAAATTTGTTTTCACATGCATTAGCGAGAATTCGTAGCTAAATGGTTCTTTTTCTTGAATATGACGTCCTCGCAACGAGAGTCGACTCATCACGGACGTTACTATTGACTCGTAGGCTACTACAAAGTCAGTAAGGAAGCTATGCTCGTTATCTTATTTAAGGCTATGTTTTCCATCAGTTAAGTTTTTCAGTGAAGCACATCAGCGAAGTCATGAAACTTCCTCTTTCCTCCGTGCTTTGGCTTAATCAAAGTTTGCTTGCGGATTTGGCGGAGTTATTACAGCTTGTGATTAGACGTCGCGTAATGATGCTTTTCATGACAGCGGATAAATTAGTTCGCGTCGGACGACGTAGTTAACTGTGGTAGGTTTAAATAACTGCCCAAGCACTAGCGCTTTAGTACGACATATATTTAGTCGATCGATCAGCCAGTCTTATTTGTGACCGTCGTTTTTTGTACCAGATAAATGAACTTCCGGAAAGGAAGTTTTTCTAAAATTAATTGCGTTAAAGCCATAATACATTGTAATATGATTCAGTACTCATTTCCGGCTGATTGATTTATGCTATGCGACGTGATCTACTTCTATTGGTGACAATTCATGCAGAAAGAGTGGAAATACTTGATTCACATGACACAAGCTATACCACTCGGTTTTTGGCAATCTCAATTTTGCATAGAATTCTGACTAAAACTGACGGCTGGATTTAAAGTTATTCCTGTAGAATACGTGGAGACAACCCAATTTCACTTCGTGTTTTTGTTCAATTCCAAACCAAGACAAAAATGGGAAAGTTTGTAATCGTTAGAATGTCGCTCTTCGTTCATGATTGTGTCACCTATAGTATCAAGTTTTTCATGCGTGCTTTTCTCCTGTTTTCTTCCTTCAACGTGGTAATCATTTAGCAGTGTCAAAAGGAAGAAAAGCGAGTAGCCTGACTGGGGCTGAAACTCGGGGCCTCCCGGATTTGGGTACGCCCCATTTGCCAATCTTTCAAACCAATCCACTTTCAGAATTAATGTGGCACACTTCATTTCCACGTAACTTTCTGTTGCGAAATATGTGAATTGTGGTTTCAGTCAGTCATCTGAATTAACTTGCCATCAAAGATAGGAAAATAACAAAGCATGCTGATGTTCCTCATTAGCAAAGGTAAGTGTACCGTTTACAATTAATTGAATTAAGAAAAATATTTGTGGCCCTCTTTCGCTTCGTTTCTTCTGATATACTTTCCACTTCGTATAACTTTTTATAAATCCTATTGAAGAGTTCACTTAAAGTAAGTCGCGTTCGTACGCTTTGTTGCTCTAGCTATCGTTTTCCCAATGTTGTTAATCTTTTAAAGTTACTTATATCCATCTCATAACCTAATTCCTGTTTTAGTCATCATTCTCCTTTACCCAATTGATTACTATTTCGCTATAATCAGCCATGCCTCCCCTAATTGATTTGACAAATTAATATTGATCAGATGAAACATTTTAACGAATAACTGCACTTCCATAGAATTTTGAATCATTAGAAAGACAGCTTATTCCCAGAAAGTGAAACTGCTGTGCGTGTTGAACCCAATGAAGGGCCTAGGAAGCAGCACTTAAAATTAAATTTTTCTGTGCATTGGCTTGGTGGCAAATCATCTATTTGGCAACTGCGAAACGTTTTCTGAAATTTGTTTACCTGGATTCAAGAGTTAGCGCAATTCTGATGAAGAAAAGAGGAACCCCCACTTTTGGACTACTATATTTTTGAACTATTATACGTCCAGCGTGAAAACGAAAGGTATATCGACTGCGGTTATGAGTTCATCAACTGTAGTGCTGAAACCCGAAGGGATCCTAGACAGGAGAACAAAGACCGGGAGCTTAAATTCTTTCTGACATTTGCCAAAGCGTAGCTTTAGAGAAAGTAAAAGCTTATTGCAAACACACCACTGTTTGCTTTAAATAGGCAGCATTTGTGTACGACAGGAAAAACCACTGCTTTATTTCAAGTCTGAGTCTGCGTAAAATGCAGATGGTAATTCAGAATTTCTATCGAAGTACACGAAGAATTGCTACACAGCAAGATAATCGCTTGGTAACACTTTCATCCACAGTACTGTTACCTGATAAAGGCATCTTTGCAACAATTTTGGTTTCGAATGATTTTGGAATTAGTGATGTCTGCTCGACTTTATCATTCACCTACTTCCATAAATTATTCTACTCGGTCTGTTCGAAAAAACTAATCAAAATTTCATTGTTAAAGCGGCACGCTCACAATCAGAATATGTTTTATGCTCATTTTGGCACACTGAGCCGCTAAGATCTGGGAAGAGTGAGAAGCTAAGGTACGGCGCTCCGCGGTTACTGAACGCGCAGTAGTGGGATGATAATTATACACCTAGTCTTCCTCATACAATCAGAAACCCGCAGTCGGTTTTGCCCGTTCCTTAGGTGGTACCTATTTATAAACAAATAAAGCGTTGAAAAGCGGTTTTGCACCATGTGAATGGTGTTGACTAAGTGAACGCCTTTTGTTTAAGGACAGAGCGAAGAGGATCGCGAAAGAAATTGCATCGTTGAGAAATAACCTCCCACTTGAGGCAAGCAACAGCATATTTGTATGCATAGACGACAGTCGCTGTGATATCATGAAAGTGCTCATAACAGGGCCAGATGAGACTCCATATCAAAACGGTTGCTTCGAGTTCGACCTTTTCTTTCCGGCCAACTATCCGTTCTCACCACCGAAAATGACTTTTCTGAGCGGTGGCGATGTCAGATTCAACCCGAATCTGTACCAGGACGGAAAAGTATGCCTAAGTATCTTGAATACATGGGAAGGAAGACCTGAGGAGAAGTGGAGTCAGTTTTGCACCTTACTTCAACTGCTGGTATCAGTGCAAGTAAGGCAAATTTTCGTTTAATTTTATACTATTTTTGTGTAAATAATTTGATTACTTACTTCTGACTTCATGCGTTAAATTTTAAAAAGTGAGTGGTATTTCTATAAAAATGTCCTTTAGATAGTGGTTTCAAAGTGGGTGAAGGTTTCAGTCCCTTTTTCAGCTATGAATAGCCTATCGCGGCGGCACAGTGCCTTGGAGAACTGTTTCAAACTCCGGAGGTATCGGGTTCGATGCTGCTGATGGGCAATCTTTGTCAAATTCACTAATTTCCTTAAGCAAGGAAACTACTACAAGTTGCTTCCAACGAGGGTTGCTCAGTCGATAGAGTTCGAAGTCTGAACCATAAGGTCCCGAATTCGAGCCCGGTCGGGGGCATTTGCTTTTCTTCCTTCCGAGATTGATAATTGAGTACCACTCGATGGGAAGGAAATAGCAGACTACACTCAATGCTTGCCACACGGCTGTGTACTCTGCCTTTAAAAGGAAGTACTCCTGGCTGATTGCATAAAAACGGAAATCACCGCACAATTAAATTCACGAAAGGAAGGGTGCTAGAATGGCCTCATCATAAAAATGTAAGAAAGACCGACATTCCAGAGGTTACAAACATTCCTCTTCTTTTCCTTTATAATAAGACTAAACAATTACGCTTCAGCATCAATCTCCAGCAAATTTATCGAAATTTTTGCTTTGACTATATTTTCTGCTAAATGAGGACTGAAAGTTAAGGTTTGCAGCAAAAACAAATGAATAAGTGAAATTGACTTCAGAAGCTCATCTGAAAGCAATATTCACTGCAGCGATTCAGTTAATGCTTTTATTCCGCTGATAAGCTTTGCACAGTAATGCGATAATAACAGGGACAATAGACTAAATGAAAGTTTATTTGAAGGGGATCGTCAAGGAATTAAATTTTTTCGTATAGTTGTTCAAGACTTTATCAGTGCAAGGCATGTCATCATACACAGGAGCCACGCAAGTGAAATAGCGGGCTTGGTTTGAAATTAGTATCTGATGAACTGTGTTTGTTCATCGGTTTTTACATTCACGTAATTATTTCGACGTAGTACAAAACTTCTTTATGCAGAAATTGATAATGTATTTCTGAATGTCATGAACCGAAAAACAGCGCATAAAATCTCCACTTATAATCATATTATATGATAAACTGACATTTTTGACCAACCTCGGTCCTACTCAGAGTTAAAATGAGTTGTGCACGAAATATTTACCATTCGGGTTAAGTTGGCCTTTATGAATGATGGGGACGCGCTGGTAACTCCGCCATGGCCGGTCCCAAGCCCGGATGAGAAAGGAGG